TTCTAATATGGGATTTCTGTTTGGTGGCTGTTTGGTCAGAATCTTGACGAGCTGAACCGTGTGTTTCTCTGTCACGAAATTGCTCATGACACTTCTAACTGCATCTTGGCGAACAATTTGATCTACTTCTGTATTTTGGGTTTATTTCCGGCTTCTTCTTACTGGATCTTACATCATAACTTGGTGAGCAAACCTATCTCTTTCTTGCTCTTTCTTTCTGTATCTTGCATCCTGACGTTTCATTTTCTTTTTAGCATCGTGATTTTCGATGCGTTTCATCACTTTATATTCATATTTAAGTAAAAAAAAAAAGGTGTGTAGCTTACGAAGATCGAATTACTGCAAAATTCCTGCAAATTTGTATGCAACGAACACCATACGAAGGACTTGCGGTTCCCTCGGTAACAGAACAATTCATTTCAAAGCGTACGATTGGATTCCCCAGCAGAAAAAGTCACTTTTCTTGTGAAATATCACTATGTTTCTCCAGTAGGAAGATTCAGTTTGAAATTCTGCATTAAACTCACAATATTAGGAAAGAATTACATTTTCTCCATTAAGGAAACAATTTAGAATAAAATGTTATAAAATAAGGTCCTATTGTTAGTTTTTAACTTTTAGCAAGGATGTTTTTTATAACATTTTGCATTTTGGTGCGATATAAAGCTGTTATTGACTTATTTCTTAAAAAAAGTGAACACATGCATTAGATAAACTTTTTGTTTTTTAAAGGAGACCCAAGTTTTAAAGAAACGTTGTTAGAAACTTCCCTTATGATATTTTATTACAATTTACAGCTTTTATTGTAAGTAAGATTTATTTTTAGAACAAGTACGACGTTTCGATCACTGGTGACATCATTCTCAAGTACACAAGTTTTAACGATAAAGAACGTTGATTTAAATACTTAAACGTTCTTTATCGTTACAACTTGCGTACTTGTAAATTGCAATAAAATATACGTAACTAGTAAGAAACTCAAAATAAACTACTGCGAAGTATCATCCAAATTGGACTTTAAGTGTGGGAGGAGTTTTGGGAACGTACGGACACTAGCCTCTTATATATATATGCATAAAGTTATGATTTTATCGCCCGAAAGTAGAGGTGAGAAGCGCATAAGCCTAATGTGTAGCTTTGTGCTGAAACAAATAAACTTCTAATTTATCTTTCGATAGAAGTAATCTTAATAACTTTCTAACCTATTCAGTTGATTGTTGTATATAGTGATAGTCTTTGCTTTATTGCTATAAACGTTTTTCTCTCATTTTTGCTTTTCAACTAGTTGTCGCGCGCACTTGTACAATCTATACTTTTCGAATTTTGTATCTTTTGAAACAATGCTACTACCAGAAAAAGAACATTTGGTCAAAATCTCGTAATAAATTATATGTTACTTTAACTGGTAACAGCTTTTTTTTTGAGGTTCAAAATTTTATTTTATATCGTTTATTCACAATCATTTTAATTTATAATAATGCATATTATAGTGGTGCTTTATATATTTTTTGTAATAAGAAACAACTGTAGAGCAAGGAACTTTACAAAATAGTATTTAATAGTAACTAACATTAAAAAGAAGAACAGTCGATGTCATGGAATGGATATACGAGGAGAAACCGACACTGATAATAACAACAAATAGCTCAGTCAGTAAAGACGTAACTGCTTGGACTACGAACCATGTAGAGAAATGGACATCTAATGTTTGATTGGTCAATAGCTAAAATAGTTCTTTGACAGCATTTGCCTATGCGACTAGTAAAAGTAAAGACCATGACAGATTCACTAAACCTCATCGCATGAATGAAGACAGGTTTTGTGCAAATAACATAGGTAAAAGCACTGACATACTTAAGGCTCGTCCGAAAACAAACTATATTCCATGCTACAGTGGAGTTTTATCAAATTAGAAAGTGTTTCATTTATCTCGTAAGGCGTAAGCCCTTGAGCAACCTGACAAGATCACCAAATGATGTCGTCCATAAAAGTCAGGTAAGATCCTTGAGCAACCTGACAAGATCAAATGATGTCGTCCATAAAAGTCAGGTAAAGTGAGGGAACAGGAAGAGATGGAACAGAGGTTATAGTGGTCAACTGGAAAAGTGGAGCAAAGCGGCTAAAATTATGGAAGTGGGGCAAGTGAGAAAGTGTGTGGAAAGGACATATTCCAGTTAATTCAAATTGAATAGGGTATTATTATTACTAGAAGAACATTGAGGATAGTAATGGAGGATGGAGAGATAATAGCGGTGTAAATAATTCTAATAAACTCTTCTTTATTTACATTGGCTATCTTACGTTAGACATAAGAATACTTTCAAGTACGATACACAATAATTAATAATAACGATGAAAACTTAAAAGGGTTTGCTGTTGGTAGGTTGCCTCACTATGGTCAGTGATTCGGAATTAGAGATAGCGGAAGCTACCCGGACTGCGCATTGACACATGTGTGTAGTGAAACTCCAAAACTGGAGAAAGAGAGAGCGCCTATGTTTCGGCCGGTGCTAAGCTTCACTAGCGTGCAAATAAAATAAAAAACAATTTAAATATGTTTTATCTATCAATTGAAATACAACTACTTAATACAATTATGTTTGTTGCTAAGTGCAGAGCTACACAATGGACTATCTGTGCTGTACCCATCACGTGTTTCAAAACCAAATATGTGTGTTATGAGCCCGCAGACTTATCGCTGAACCATTGAGGAGTGTCGGAATTATGAATATAAAATACTTTTAGGTGAGAATAAAATTTAGAAAAAGCTGAGCTGTAATTAATCAGGTTAGAGCAATTTAGACTCATAATTAAGTAAAATAATATAGAATAGCGAACGATGCAGCCAAGCTACAACATTTATAATATAAAATACACGTGAAAATGACAAAGGGCTGCGAAAGAGATATCTCCAAAATGTTTCAAGAATTCATTACAAGGATTACACTTTTCAAAGCGTAGAAAACACAAATACTTCCACTTCTTCCAAAGAATATACATATGTAGCTATATACCATCAACCCCTTATTAAATAAGGTGTATGATATGATGGCAAATTGTAAGTTTTTCTCAACACTGTACAGGTCTTTTACTGAAGAGTGACAGAACATAGTCTTATGCGTATATTTCTTTTGAAGATAGCTCTCGTTGCTTAACGGCTTATAATACTAAAAATCAGGAATTAACAATCGTTGTGGGCACAGAGCAGGTAGCCCATTGTGTAGTTTTGCACTTAATAACAAACAAATAAAAATCGTCAAAGGTAAGAAAAATATGCTTTTTACCATACATTTTAGGTCGTTTTTTCCGTTGTGCATGTTTTGCTACAGTTTTTATTACTGAGATAATAAATTTGTAATTTCATTTAAATCTCAGCGCAATATTGAGTACCTTAATTAGTAGTTACTTAGCCTATTTCATTTATGTCCTTGAAGTTGGTTTATATGGGCTTAATTACCAACTGAGTTTACTTTCGTTTTTATAAATATTCGTCTATTTGCATTGCTATACAATGTTTCAAGAAGTGATTTTGTTTTTCTTATAAAACATGTGTTCTCAGGTTTATAAAAAAATAATATTTATCTGGCGCTTTTGTTTCACACTGTTTTAATTACATTGCTAAATATCATCTGTTCATGAACGAAATTGTTTTGAGGTGTTTGTTTAAATGTATGTATGCATGTATGAGTAATAATATATGAAACTGTACAATATATAACACATTTTATTGTAAGAATTATAATATAGCAGTATTAGAATATGGTTAGAGCTTAAAATTATTACTCATCCCAGCAAACACCTACCTTGTGGTTAGTGTTACTCTTAAAGCGTCCTCTGTAATTCTAGATGCAATACTGAATGAAATATAAGTGTTTTAAGATACGTAGCACTTCCCAAGACACACATTTCTAGAAGAAAAAAATAAATCGGTTCAAATCAAAAGTTTAAATATAATAGTATTTAGTATTTTACTTCTTTTCAATTTGTAAAATACAAAAGGCTTAGTTGAAATGTAATCAAAATTAAGATCTAGAATAAAAGGGAAATAAAATAAATCCTCATTACAGGCTGTTTTAAATAATTATACAGTTACAGTTATTGAAATATTTATGCTACAAAACTGCATTAGATTAACAAAACGTAAGAAAAAGTGATGAATTATAAATTTATTTTTGCTTTTACGAAATAATGTTTGTCTATTGTTTCACTTGAATTAATAATTGTTTTCGGTAACAATGTATATCTTATAAAACGTGGACTTGTTGTTGAAACGTTTTCGGCACAGCTAGATAAAACATATATAGTTTGAGCTGATATCATCTGCTGCTATTGAATGTTTCTCATTTGTTGCGATGTACCTATTTTATCATGACAGATACATGACCGAAATATTGCATAGTCAAACAATCCAATAATAGTAGGTGGATGATTGAAACATGAAATTTCTATGTATGTATGTAGTTTGAGCTGATCTCATCTGTTGATATTGGAAGAATCGACGCACCTACTACATCACAACATACATATGACCGAAGTGTTGCAAAATCAAACAATTTAATAATAGTAGGTGAATAATTTACACAAACAGTTTTTATGTTTGCGTATGTTGATAAAGTATACAAACTTCGTAAGGTTTTTAATAAAGCAATTTCTCTAATTCGGTGCTTACATATCCATATATATATATAAGGTTTTTTTAAAGACATTTTGAATTTACTTTATTGCCACAGTTCCAGATAACCAAGTTATTTATTGTTTTCAAAGGTTCCAGCATCAATACCGCTTCTACTCCAAGCTCCCCCAGCAAGTCCTAGCTTGTCTGAAACAAGTGGGACAACAGAGGCAGCAATGTATGAACAAAGGCTTAGGAGGAATGATAATGATGTAAAACTGATTGGATTAAATGGTAAAGCACTCGACTCAGATATACAGAACACCCATGTTTGAATTTCCTGTTATGAGGTAATACTGGTGCCTTTCGTTCTGGACTGATTGTGATTTGAGTCGAAGTTACTGTGCTAAAAATCAACTGAGAAATTCACGAAGTATTTTGTGTGTTTTCATGTTTTGCTTCAAAGAGAAACAAACTTTAAAAAGTGCCATGAAGTTGTGAGTTATGAAAGCTGTCAGTCAAATTAATAACCAATGCTATTATTTACGATCACTAAATGAAAGTTGGAAATAGGAAATATCATTTTGATATAAGCCACCGGAAAATGAAAGCATTAATTTACATAAACAATAATGAACTATAAAATTGCTCCGATTGCACTGATTTATTTACGAACATGGAAAATATCCTACAAAATAGAGCAAAGGAAATCTACTGACAAAGCTTTGTGTAATCTTCATTCGTCGTATCTGTTAATGCTGTATAATACAAAATAATAAAATGCGATACAGTATCATTAATGTCACACTAGAGGGGAAAGTGGTTTATTTATTTTCCTGTGAGATAACATTTTTCCTACTTAACTTTTGATTGACAATTTAAATAGAACTCTTGCTGTGAAATGTTTCTTGTATCAACTTATTCATCAATCCATTTCTTGTGTACAAAATAATGTTCATGCTATATATGTTAATAAATTGGTTCTTTGTTTGTACTTCTGTGGAGGTTTTATTCTTATTTTGTCATATCTGATTAAGAAACAAGCTAAGGCTTACAATAGTGTGCGTTTTCAAATTCGATGACGAGGAACCCATTTTGAGACTAATAATGGCCGGAGACAGCTT